CCCCCCCCCCCAGGCAGACTAATGTCTCCTGTGCATATCAGTCCCAAAGTGACATCAGGAGGAGGAGGACAGCGGAAGCTGTGTCCGTCACAACATCAGGTACCCTCCACACATACTAATGAACCTTTGGCCTGTTTCAAATTCTTCATCTACAAATACAGATGAAGATCAAACAGAACAGCAGTAGTTTGTGACAACCTGCCAAAGAGCCAGAAATCAAACTAGCAAGCAAGCAACAATACAAAATGACACAATCATCAGCAAGGAAATACAAAAGATAAATAAATATCTAATCAGACAAAGGGGGAGGGAGGTAGTCTCTACAGGTCATAAACGTAGTACCTTAGTTTAGTGAATAGATGTGCATAAAATACAACACTTTTTTATCTGTTCAGGACATGGTTGCTACCAAGGTTGACCATATTTAGTTATCCAGATATTCATGTGAATGACTTTTTCAGGTTTATCTATTTTCAACAATGCATCAGTCCAGTCTTGAATGAGCAAAGCACTGCTGTCTCTCCTTTTTCCAAAAAGAAATCTACAGATCTCCAGTTATTATGGTGTTGAATTGGCAATCTGACAGAACCCTTATTATACCGAGATTGGGGTTGGGCTGAATACAAACTTTTCTCACAATACACATAATCTTGAAAACTTAAATCCAAAACTTTTGAACAGTGGCACATTTCCACTGTGTGATCCTCCGTGTGGCAGCGGGGATCTGGATTTCTCCTGCTGTGATCGTCCTCCTGCAGGTTAAAGAGGCAGAGCACGGGGCAAGTTATCCGTTCCTCCTTCGGGATCCAAGTGTCTGTTGTTCGGCCAGTGAGTTGGGACTATTAACTAGGCTTTTTCTTCAAGGCACCACTGTTGTTTCACCTACTTTTAGCAGTGTGAGTCGCATTGGCGGCGCAGGTTGAAGGTACGCGCAGGTCTATGTAGCCTTGGTAACGTCATGGCTGTGTCACAGGGACTTCCTGGGGTTCCTGTGGCTCTCGTCCAATGAGGCACCAATGGTGAACATGGTGAACCTGTTTAGAATCAGCACGGCAGCCTCATCATTAAGCATGTTAGCATGGTGATGTTAGCATTTAGCTCAAAGCACAATTCTGCTTAAATGCGACCTCCCAGAACAACCAGAAGTGAATGCTGTAGACTCTTAGTGTTGTTAATACATTTCTGTAATTCCATCCAAATTACAGAATGCTAAATATTCGGTGGGTTAACAGCAGAGGAAAGTGCACAGGTAGACTTGGTAATTGTGTTACGTTTGGCGTTTCCTGTTGAAAGCAAAAGAAGAAGAGAAGTGTGATGTGGAGTTCGTCCTATTGGAGTTGGCACTGAGCAGCAGGCTTTGTGTCTTTTTGGACCAGTGGAGCTGCCTTTTTTCATTAGAGTCGTGGCTCGCGCCTTGTGTCTTTGCCGGATTGAAACCTGAATTGGTTTGTCCACCTTTTCTTCTGCGTCCCCTGTCCGTGCTCGACTCCTGCAGCTGCCGTTTGTCATTTAAATAACAAATGCTGGTGGTTCCCTGATTTAGTGAGGGGTGCAGGCCTCTGATGTATATTAATATTGTCGCATGGCGCACTGTACCAGGATCCATCATTCATTTGGATAAAAGAGGTGGAATTTGAAAACAGCCAATGCTTTACTTGGATACAGATTGCATCCATTCATTGCACTGAGTGATGGAATGGCCAGCAATTCTGTCCTTCACCTCCCCAGCGCTGAGCCACTTCCCATAAAAGTAAAAAAAGGATTCACCCCTGGCCCTTGAGGACCCCTCATATTCAACATGCGGAACGAGGGGCATCCCTCAGTTTCTCGACAGGAAGGGGAAATACACGAGTTGCAATCTTACACAAAAAACAGATTAATGTTATTAGTGTCATTCGTGCAAAACAGCAGTTATCACTGTAGCATTGTATTATTCAAATAAGTGCTATATTTTCTAATGTGTTTTTTAAAAGGGAGATATTTTAATGTACTCTTAGACATTTTATTATGATCTGTTTGCTAAATTGCATAGAAGGAGAGTCTCTGATTGGCACAGCCCCCCCCCCCCCAGCCCCGCTCTGAGTGTTTTCCTGCTTCTTGAGTCTAGTGCCCCCTGTCCACCATGATTTATCATGCATCCCATGTCGTCCAATGTCAGTTTCTGCAGCTGCAACTGCTCTGTATAAATCTTTACTTTGGCAGCCTGCTGCACCATGTCTCTGCTCAGTAATCTCACCACCGCCAGGAGATGCACATTCACTCTGACAAGCTTTCACACTCTCTGTGTACAAATTTTGGTTTGTTGCCATTCTGACATAAATGTGTTCAGAAACAAAATCAGAATCAGTGATTTGTTGAGGGGAGTTGTTTTCCGGTAAACATCTTGTTTGCATGGAAAGATTGTTTACCGCATTTAGGTTAAAGAACGGCGTGTTGCTCATTTTGAACACGACAGCCGAGCCTTTGTTTGAGTTGGCCAGAGGAAGTGGATTGTTGTATGTGTTAGTGGTTGATTTGAAACTCTGTAATCAGGAGTGAAAATGGTCTGCGGCTGGAGGTGTCTTCCAGGTCTCCATGGGGAATTACTGAGGCGGTACCCAGCTGTTACTTTGTCTTCTTTCTTTACCCTTTTAGCACTGCCGTGGAAGTGCTGAAGCTGGTTGTGAAAAAAACACCCACAACAACTTATCAAGCCAGGTATCTGTTTGGATTAGATGACCACTCCATTTCTCAGCCGTAAATTGGCCATTTTCTACTTTTTTCACCACCATCAATCCAACAATCCAACTCAATCCAACAAGTCCCGACTAGATCTATAACAAAGCATTCCAGTTTTCTGTTAAATGTAGATGGTTATTATTAAAAATACAGATTGAAATTGTCACTTGTCTTTCGCAATTTCTACAAATATTGATTTGTATTCTGCAACGAGTGAATAACAGAAAAATCACCATGTCGCCCAATGATCGAGAGTGAAAATTAATACATTCTACACACTCCATAGTTTTGGGAGAGTTATTCGTAAGGCAAAGATGAATCAGTATGTGTAAAGATCCTGAAGCATTTTAATAGCCTTGGCTGGTCTCACACAGACTAATTAATTATTGCAATTTTACTCCTCCCCTGCTGTCTTCTACTGTATAATGCCCTTCATCTTTATCTCTATAACGGGATGATGGTAATAAAACCAAACTTGAACTTATGCAGTGTGCTTAATTCCAGGAAGAGTTTGGAGTAAATAGGCAGGGTGTGAAGTTAGTGTGATTAACCTCGTCAAACTGTTAGTGCGCCATCTCTGTATGTTGCAAAGTGCCACATTTGGGTTCCCACGTGGAGGCCAGCCCCTCGGTCAGCCCTGCCGCCTCTCCTCTCCCCTCTGTCTTTACGTGTCTCCTTGCCCGAGCAAGACGGCTGCGTGACAGATCACCTGCGTCTGAGGCCCGCCGTGTTCCTGCCCGGCGGTCCGGCCCCCTCTCATTAATGCCCAGGCTGGTGCGAGGGCCGTATGGCAGCACAAGACAAATAACGCTACCACTCAGCCATCACTTCTGCTGACAGAAATGCAGCCCACCGCACTATTTCGCCCTCTCCGGCTCCACTCCGCACCCTGCTCGCGTCCTTCAAAAACCCCCTCCATCTCCTCCGTCTCCACCTGCACCTGCCTGCGCTGCTTCACCAAACTTTCACAGTGTTTTTCGCTGTTGCTGGAGGCTGTTTAACACTCAAACCCACACAGGTTGACATAGTGTAGCCACGAACCCGCTGCCTTTGTAACCACTCTAATTGTTTTTTGTTTGCGGAGACACATTTGTTTTTAGCAGCTCAGTCTTTCAGAGGCTTCTTTACTCACCACTTTTGTGCAAACCGGGAGGTCTGAGTTGAATGTCCTATTTTTTTCAATTTTGAAAAGAATGGTGTGTGTGTGTGTGTGTGAGTGTGTGTGTGTGTGTGTGTGTGTGTGTGTGTGTGTGTTTGCATGAGAGAGAGAAGGAGAGTGAGCAGGAGACAGAAACACAAAGGCTAATCATTAAAGAGCTATTCAGCCCTGTTCATTTAAGTGTGGGAATCAGCAGGTCCATTACTGTCAATGTGTAATTAGCTGATTAATAAACACGGGGAAGGGGAGTGCTCCAGGAAGGTCTGTAATGATTGTTTTTAGAGAGCATCACATGAGAGCTTATTAAGATGGTAAGATGGTTCCATTCAACTTCCCATTATCACCCACAATAAATGCATGTACTGTAATTCTCCCATTGACAGAAAACCATTGCGTTGTAATGTTTTTATCGACTTTGATGTAAAACCAGTTGAGTGTAAGTGTAGCTGTTCTGGACAAATGAAAGTATCTTTTATCTAAGCTGTTGATTATTCACATTCAGCATTTTTTAAATATCTTATACTGTACACATTCATTTACATATGTATAACCAGTGGTGGAGAGTAACTAAGTACATTTACCAAAGTACTGTACTTCAGTACAATTTTCAACTACTTGTACATTACTTGAGTATTTCCATTTTTTGCTTCTTTATACCTCGATTTCAACACATGCAAATCTTATAAATACAACGTATTGTTACATGTTAAACCGTGCTCCCACACTTTTTTGGCTTGTGACTCCTTCTATATAACCGGTGTCAGATCAGATGTCTATTTTCTGCTATTTTTTGAGTTTCGCCAAAACAATGTTTCCCCTCTGAGGCCCAAGATTATCCAATATTTCACAAAAGCTGAAATTAGTTCCCCCCGTATCACATCAATCATCTCACAACCCCTTATATTTGTCATTGAAACATTTATAATACTGAATATATTACTGAAGTAGCATTTGGATCGCATTGACTTGATTTAATGTTAAATTGTTGTGTTTGTACTTTTAGCTAAAGTAA